GAAACAGTTTTATAAGGCTTTATGGACAAATATCAATTTAGATGTCTCCCATATTAGCTCAGTTCATCAGGGACATGATAAAGTAGTTACTATTTCATTCGTCTATTACCAGATAAGGAAAGTGAGCTTGCTGAAGGTTACCCAGCAGCTAAGTGGTCAAGCTGGGAGTCAAGCCTCTATGAAATGGCTCTGAGCTGTGCCATCATGTGGGGTGTATCACTATGCCTGATAGGATTTTCAGAAGAGAGAGCTTGATTACAGCAAAAAGTGTCCGTGAGAGAGGCAAGACAGGATTGCATGATGGGTAAGTGGCGTGGTAGTCCTTGGTTGCAGGCAGCTCGTGTGTGACCAGGGACTTATGGAAGGCTTGTAGGGGGGAAGCTTGGTGAGCACAGGGGTCACCATCCTTGGTGATGGAGTCCACCTGAGCAAGAGGGATCAGGACACAAGTGGAAACAAGCCTTCCCTAGGTCTAAAATCAAGTCTCCAGGCTGCTTCCAACCAAAGCTCCTCTGGGTCACTCCCATGGGCATGAGTGGATGGCGGAGGCCAGGCTTTGCTTGAAACAGTGAGAGGCTGTGCTGGGAGATGTGCTGGGAGGGAAGATCCAGATTCTGGGCCTTAGTCTGAGAGTGGCTGTTGGGCCTGGGCAGGCAGCAAGGGCTGGCTGCTTGGGAGAGGCCCACAGTGCGTGGATCTTTGAACACATTGTCCAGAGTCCACAGCAGAGTGGGCAGAGCTTCTGTGCTCACCAGTAAACTGCGTGGGCTAGACTGCATTTACAGAAGTGTAGCCAATCAATTCAGCATGCCGATGAATTATTTATGCACGGCCAGCAAAGGAGGGAGGCCACAGTTTGGACACCTACCTCATTGGTCTTCATAGAACACCTGCTACGTTGCATTTCTGAGTGGGTAGGATGTGGGAGTCATTAGTTTATAAGAGGTCTGCTGTAAATAACACAGGCAGGCATTTTCTTCCTTTTTAGGCTGTCTTTTGCTGTGTGTTTATATTTAAGCATATTAAATATATCATATTAAACTGAATATATTAAAGAGTGCAGCTCACTCTGTACCTGGGATGGGGGTTTGGAGAGGGGACAGCTTAAGGAGACATGCAGGTGGGACTTGGGGACACCTGGGACCTCAATAGCTCTAAAGGCTGGAAGCTTTTGGGTCTGAGCTCCTACAGACAGGATGGGCAGACACAGTGTCCCTCTAAAGAAGACAGCGGGTACCAGCTTCTGTGACTGGAACAGGACCTTCCCTCTGTCCATTCAGGCATCAGGCAGGCTGGGCAACTTGAAACCAAGGACTTTGAAATCTGGGGCCAGTGACAACTTAGGCCGGTCATCGGTGTCTCCTGGCATTTATTCCCACTTCTACCCATGGGGAAAGCAGTGAAATTAAGACTATTGCCCAGATTCTCTGAAGAACGGGATACCCTGTGGGCAGAGAACATCTTCCTAGACTTGGACCATCTTCCTGGTCATGGGTGTGGATGGCCCAAAGGACAGACAGATCTTCCATATTCCAGGTACCTATACAAGAGGACACTGCCCTTTCCTTCCCTGGGGCTGGAAGTTCTATAAGCCATCCTGGGGACACAGAGCCCATGGGATGTACACAAACAGAGGCTGCATCTCCTGGGAACGGGGTTCGGGTTCTCAGGGCATCTCCTCTTGCACCATACACCTTCCTCTGTGATTTCCCCATAGCTACCTTATAGCCAAGGACACAACCTGGCAGGGCTTCTCAGGAAGGAGGCGGTTGTGTTGATCTGTAAAGGACATCCAAGAAGGATTTCAACCAACCAGGGTGAAAGCAAATCCTTGCTGTCCCAGTGCTAGGCAATGATAAAGACGGGTGGGTGCTACAAGTTTTGGTGGTTGGGGATGACTTACATAGTCCCCCAAGAAATGGCTCTCAAACGTCCTAATGCTGTGACCCTTAAAACAGCTCCTCGTATTGTGGTGACCCCCCCAACCACAAAATTATTTTCATCGCTACTTCACAACTGCAATTTTGCTACTGTTATGAACTATATATAATATATTTTAAAGACAGAGGGTTGTCAGAGGGTTCATGACCCTCGGGTTGAGAACCATAGTATTCAAGGCTAATACACTGTGTAACCTAAGGGGCTGTGGCATGAAAAGAATCCTCTGCAAGAGATGTATGGTGCTCACCCTGCACAACGGTACCCGTAAGCCTCACTTGTACAGGTTACACATACACCATCTACCCCGTCTGAGCTTTCCTGAATGAATAATGTGTGTGAAGACAACTGATTTGTTGAGTAACAGAGTCCTTCTGTGAACAGCTGTGCTTTTAGACTACTATGGTTAGACAGTTAATTCTGTCAGCTGCAAGTGACAGGATCCTAACTCCAACTGGCTTTAGACACATGCATTTGTTATTACAAGAAACTGAAACACCTGGGTCCTGGTACCCTTGTTTGGTAAAATACATTTCCTGTTTGTCACCTGCCCTGGTGGCGTCATCAATTAAGTGCTGATTTAAAGGCCTTTTCTTCCTCAGAAGATTCACAGTTGTGCATACACAGGGGTGACCCAGTCATCATTCTTCTGGCTTCTCCGAGAGTTTGGCATGGTCAAGTACAGTTAGAAAATGCCACGCCTCAGCTTTTGGTTGATGGAGCAGCATACCAGCATCTCCAAGGCGCTGAAAAGCCCTGGGACCTCCTGTGGAGTTTCATGCAGTTCAGGATTTCCCTCCACCAATTGATTGCCCACAGTAACAGCCTTCTGCAGAATGGAAGCTTGGCCGCTTTCTGAGGGTGGCTGCAGAAGGCAACCCTTTGGAATTCTGTCACTTGCCTGCTGTGTTGTAACCAGGTGGTGCAGCATGTTCCTCCTTCCATACTGGACCTTAGCTGGGCCCTGGTGACCAGGTATTTGATTAAATGAGTGACGGTGAGTCAGCAGTGCTGACACTGTGTCCTTCAGACATGCAGTAGAGTTCTGTGGAGTTGTGGTGGTCTTCAACCTGCATCCTGCCTGTCTGTTACCCATGCCTTGTCCAGGCGGGCACGGGAACATTTGTCGGATGACCGATAAAACCCACTCACCAGTGACACTGAGAAATGGCTCTTCTCCAGGCAACTGAATTGACATGAAACCTGTGTCATTCTCACAAGAGAGGGGCAATCTTCAGTGTCTAAGTCTATAGGCAGCCATTTATACCTCATATATGGTTAGGATGGGAACACCCGTGCCCTGCAGCAAGACCCATCAAGAAAGTCCTGTTCATCCACACCCCATAGACCCTGTGAAGTGACTGCTCTGGGGGGAGGGGTGAACTTGGGTGTAAATTCAGTGTAGCCTTTGTGAACCAGAGAACACCCCAAATGGGGGGCAGTGCAATGGAGCAGGGAGTGAAGCAGAACCTTCGTGACCCCCTCTGCATCAGGGAACCTTACCTGGGATGGGGATTGCCTTTTTCCTAGCTTCCATTGGTTGAAAGCTGACTGAGAAAGTATGCAAGTAATCTGCTGGTCTAAGAGCCACACAGATCTGGGCCCTAGCAACTGGTCAGGCCTGAGCCCTGACCTTATAGAGAAACAGTTAGGGGACATGGGCAGGGCCAACCAGTGCCCTGGAGTGGATTCCTGGCAGATCATCACCTTGGTTCTTGATGAATTCCTAGGGGTTGGTACAGTGATGGCAGCTGTTTCTCCTGGGCATGGTAGGAGCCTTAGCTTGGGCTGTAGGCTTGAATGAGCTGACCCCTTTCTTCTGTGCCTCCATTGCCTCATATGGAAAGTGGATGAGTGCAGCACCCTGGTTTGGCTGAGACAATATCATCCCCTTGCTCAGGTGAGGACAGTGAACTATCTCTTGCAGAGGTTTGGGGATATCTCTGGGAAACCAAGAACATAGACTTGACATCCAAGGCTCAAAACCAGAGGTATCCACTGACTGGTTGTATAACTTGAAGCACCTTGCACAACCTTTCTGGTCTTCTTGATTGTGAATCTCAGCATCTAAGTGCTTAGTGGAGCAGGCAGCCTCACCTCCTTGGGTTCTGACTGGTGGAATCTAGCAAATCCATACAGGTGGAGGCCTCAGAACCACCTTGGCGGGCAGTTAAGTGAACCATTGTCTGTTAAGAGAAGCTTTTTCTTGCTAGCCACTTTGGTATATCCCCTGCCAGCCACCTGGGTTCTGCCGCTTTCTAGTCCCCAAATAAACACACAGGAGGCTATATTCATTATGAAGCTGTTGGCCTTGTTTATTTCTTACTGGCTAGCTCTGACTTAAGTAATTACCCCATAATTGTTAATCTAAGTATTTCTCTTACCAGAGAATGGTTCCGGGCATCCTACCCCCATGGCATTACATCTTGACTCTCTTGTGTTTCTCCTTCCCAGAATCCTCCTGGACTCCTAGCCCCACCTATCTAGATTCCTATAGGCTCAACAGTACTTTATTGACAAATAACAGGCAAATAACAGGACTTCCCCAACAATTGTCCCCTGCTTCCCTGCTCTCTGTCCATGGTGTTCAGATAATGCTCCCTCCTTCTGTCCCATCCTCTAGTCTCTTCCCTCCCTCCCTTCTTCCTTCTGTTTCTTCCCTTCCCGCACTCCTCTCTCCTTTCATATCACTGGCTAGCACCCCCCACACCCCCACCATGCCCTTAGCTGTGACCAGCTTGTGGGGATATCTGGGACCCGAACCCAGAGGCCTTGCCTCCCATCTGTCCCTCCCTTACCCCTGCCCCTACACTCAAGGGACAGCCACTTGAGGTCTGTCTTTCTAGACCAGCAGCTTCCAGGCCCCACAATGGTTAGATAAGTCTGTCCCCTGCATAAAACATTGTCACTCACATGAAGAGTCCTCCATGGGAGTCCTCCAGACCCCAGCTGTATACTGTGAATGCCCCTGCCCACAAGGGAGAGGAAAGCTTCGTATGGGGGGAGGGCAAGGCAACAAGATTTTCTCAGCAGTAGTAGTGACAGTCCCTCACTCTCCTCAGGCACAGGGACACAGAACCTGCTGGAGCCTGAAACCCAGATGAGAAGAAGCATCCAGGCTCCTGCCTGGAAATTGACCCTCACCTGGACCCGGCAGTCAACAAGCATTTCCGGCCCTCTTCTTTCTATGATCCATCCTTTGTGTTGAAATTTCCCAAGCCAACTTGGAAAAAAAAAACAACTACTCCCCATTAGGAGAATAAATATGTGCTGTTTTAGTTTATAATACTTTTATGATGATTATCTGCAACACCCAACCATTACTTGAGCACACAGGCAGTCAGGGAACCATGTAGAAAGTGCTTCACCAGCTGTGACTGCAGTTGGACCTCACTGCAATCTGAGGAGCTCCCTGTCTGCAGACTCCTGAGGGGGGCTGGGCTGGGAACTGCCTCACACAGGGCTCTGGGTCCCATTTTTCCCACATCCTGCTGAGAACATGCATTAACCACACATTTTTCAGGAGCCAAGGCAAATCACCTGCTTACAGACAGGCCCCAGCGGCATGTCAGACAAGATGGCTGGTTGCCATCGCTGGGCTCCAGGAAGATGGTAGAGACACTACCCTGGGATGGAGGGAGAAGCAGGACTCTAGGGACGCTCTGAATGCAAAATCTAGAATCAGCTTGAAAACAGCCTCTATTGCATTCTGATGTGTGAAGGTATGCACATACATACAAGTATGTGCATGTACGTGCATGGAATATGTGTGTAGATGTCTTTGTGGGGGTTGAGTGCTCATGCAAGTGAGTACATGTGAGTACACATGCAAGCATCTTCAATTGCTCTGCACCTTGTCTTTGGAGACAGGGTCTCTCGTTGGATCTGGAGCTGGCTGGTGAGCTCCAGGAACACACCTCTCCGCTTCCCCAGCACAGGGATTCCAGATACTTGCTGATACATTCCATTTTTATGTGAATTCTGGGGGTCTCCACTCAGGTCTTCAAGCTTGCAGGGTAAGTACTTCCACTGAGCCATCTCCCCAGCTCCTCAATACATGTGGATCTTGTTGAAGACATTACAACTGTTTTCTGTTTGTCATCTAACTGTGACATTTGTACAGAGAAGTGCACAGAGACAAAGTCTGGCCTGGTGCCTCAGACTACACTTACCTGTTTGACTCACCCTAGATATGCAACACACACACAAGAGGCCATGCACTCCCCCATTCCTACCCTTGGAGTCTCCTTCCTGACTTCAAAGGCAAGGCAGGGGCTTCTGCCTGCCGAGTCTCCCATGGATGGAATAATACATCCATGTCATCTTTTGTGTCTGGTTTCTGTCACTTCAGTCCTATAGTTATCATATTCTCCAGTGTCACTGCCTTCAGTGGCACATGGCTCATTTTCACTGCTGTGTGGTGCTTCCCTGTGTGAAGACTCTAAAGCCAATGCATCCGTGTATTGCTGGGGAGTATCGGTACGGCTTCAAGTTTTAGATATTCTGGAGGAAATGCTAGAATATTCTTATACTCACCCAGTGTGTGTGTGTGTGTGTGTGTGTGTGTGTGTGTGTGTGTGTGTGTACCGGTGTGTGAGAGGACAGAAGAGGCCCTTAGGTATTCCTGTCCTGATTCCTAGAAGCAGGGTCTTTTTCTGAGCCTGGAGATGTAATGGCAGCTACCAAACCCTAATACCCACCCCCACACACACACCCATCTCTGCTTCCTACAGTTCTGTGCTTACAGAACTCAGGTCCCCATGATTGTGTATCATTAAAGATTTATTTATTTATCACATATACAATGTTCTGCCTACATGCCAGAAGAGGGCATCAGATTGAATTGTAGATGGTTGTGAGCCAGCATGTGGTTGCTGGGAATTGAACTCAGAACCCCTGGAAGAGCAGTCAGTGCTCTTAACCTCTGAGCCATCTCTGCAGCCCCATAAGTAGCATTCTTATCCACCGAGCCTTCTCCCCACCCCTTAATCATTCATTTGTACCTGTGTGCATATCTGAGAGTAGACACATTGCACATAAGTAGGGACACGAGGCATCATGGGCTGGTGACAGCATCATGGGCTGGTGACAGCTTTCCAAAGTGGCCACACTGATTCCTGGTTCTGGCCCTCAGACATGTGGATGTGGCAGAGAGCCCTCATCTGTGAGTCAGTGTCTGCAGTCAGTCTGCTTCTGTGCTGTAAATCTTATGGCGATGATGGAAATGGAAGTGTTTCCCTCTGGAAGCAAGCTTAGACTTGTGCATCTGATTTCTGTAAATCCCCAGACTCTGCAGACCCAAGATGATTCTGTAGCCATCTTACCAAGGCATAGATAGACCTCAGCTCTCCTTGCCTCTGAGGGCTGCTGGAGTCTAAATGTAGGACTCTTAACCCTGCTCTCCTGCCTCACTGAAACCCATCCTTACCCTGAGGGAGCTGGGGTCTCACAAGCCATTCAACAGCCCTTAATGCTAGGGATCTTAGCAGCCCCTGACTTTCCCCTCAGCAGCTTTGACTACCCCCCAACCCCACCCCATCACCACCAACAAACAGGTCTCTAAGGAGTCAGATGAACCTTTTCCATCTCATAAAAAATGTGGCACAATGTCACCTCTGTTGGCCTGGGAATACAGGGGGAGAGGGGGAGGAAGGATTAACTCAGTGGCCTTGTTCCCTGAATACTGGTGGCCACCCACCTCTGCAGTTTCCTGCAAACTGTATTTAAGCCTCCCTCTGTGCTGAGCTGCCCCACCCCCTGTGCTGGAGAGCTGGAAAAGGCTACTGCAGCTGCCAAGCTACTCAGGGGCCACTTGAGGGGGTGGGGTTAGCACTATCTCACTTGGGTCCCAGTTAGAACTACCCAGTGCAGCTCCCACAGCTGCCATGCTCCCCTCCCCGCTCTTACCTCCATCAGTGCTACCTCTTTCTTGAATGAGTGCTCAGCCTTAGTGCCTGGGCTAGTGCCACAGAGTTTCCCAGCTGGCCCTGCTCCTCCATTCTCTATAGAAATGCCATGGACTTGGGTACAACTACCATGCTTTCCCTTCATGGTGCCTCAGGCTTCACTGTCTAATTAGCTGGTCGCTGGGTCTCAGATTCTTCTAGGTTGGCTTTCACGGAAGATGAATGCATCCGTGTGAGCTGTGGTGGGAAACTGGTTTTCTGAAAAAGCCACCATCCCTCAACACAGTCATCCTTCAGAGATGAACCTGGGGCTCATTCCAGCCCAGCTTGCAACCCACATTCCACTCCCAGGATCGGGTGGAGGTGCCTTTCAGTCCCTGTCGTGGGCAAAGCGCACATACTAAAAGGGCTATTATTTTAGGGGCAGCACGGATGACCTACTCACAATGCCAGGACTGTTATAGACATGTTATCTTAAAACCTTGCATCAACCTGGACAATTTAGGGGTGTGTGTCTGCATGCTCCCAGGCCACCAGTGGGCATTGTATTGGATAATGCATGCCTAGAACAATTCCACATGTATAAAGTTCTGTGGGATTGGGTTGTGTTGCAGAGTGAGAACAGTGTGTCTGTCTAGGCAGAGTTCTGTCCATGCTGGGAAGGTTCCTTAATTGCCCAGGTGGTTACATATCACCAGGTAGAGTATAAAGGCAGATACAGCTTTCTACTGGGACAAGAGAGATTGCCTTCGTGTGTGTGTGTGTGTGTGTGTGTGTGTGTGTGTGTGTGTGTGTGTGTGTGTGTGTGTGTTTAGAAGCCAGAGCTTGCCAAGTAGGCTGGTCTGGCTGGTCAGTGAGTCCCAGAGATCCACGTGTCTCACTTTCCCCAACACTGGGATTATAGGTACATTCTGCTGTGCCCAGATTTTTTGTAGGTTCTGGGGATCCAAACTCAGGTCCTCATGCTTGATCCAAAAGCATTTTATCCACTGAGCCACCTCTTAGGATTGCCTACTTCTCCCCACCGCAGCCCCCAGCATCATGCTCCTGTGGGGGCTTCTGGAGCATTGCACTTTCCTCATCTTCTGCTTCTCTTTGAGAGGCTACTGACAAAACCCACAGAGAAGCAGAGTGGAGAGCAAATGGTCTCAGACTCCTCCCAGATCTGCTCCTCAGAATCTGCAGTGTGTTTGAGAAGCTTGAGGAGGCATCTCACTGAGCTCACACACCCCACGTCCTGCAATGCCAGCTCTTCCCGTAGACCGCATCTGAGCCCTGACAAATGGATGCGGTAGAGTCATCCACCAGCACCAATCAGGAGCTGAGGCGTGTTTTTTAGAGATGGAGAGCACCGTTCTCCAAGGTCAAAGCCAGGAAGACACTGAGACATGATATAGTCCCCACTGCTCATCTTGTAGCTCAAAGAAAGAGAGCAGCTTGTCCAAAATTACACAGTGGAGCTGCCAGAGCTTAGCCATGGTGCCACAGTACAGGGTCACCCTCAGCAAAGACAAAAGTGAGGTATTTTGGAGGGAGGGTTAGCAGCTAAGGTCTGTTCTGCCTCAAGGTTGTGTATGGGTGCTTGTATGTGTGCATGTGTATGTGTGTTTGTACATGTATGTGTTTGTGTGTGTGTGCATGTGTGTCTGTGTCCCTGTATGTGTGTGTCTATGTGTGTTTCCAATGTGTAGGCAAGGGGAGGAGTAGAGTTTCCCTCCAGGTAGCTGGGGAACCCCTCCCCCAAGTCTAATTCAGGTAAAGTACTTTTTTTCAGCCAGGCTTGACCAGTTATATTCATTACTTGTCTTTTTTACTTTAACAGAATACCTGCCAGAAAGTTTATTTGACTCCCCGTTTAAGGGTACAACCCATCAGGGAAGTCAGAGAGGCAGACATTTGAAGAGGCTGGTCACATGGTGTCCACACTCAGAAACCATGAAAACAATGTTGTAATTCAACTTCCTTTCTCCTTTTCATTCAGGCCAGGATCCCAGGTCATGGAATGGTGCCCGTTCCCCCTCCCCTTTGGCTTGAGCGTCCCCACCTCTATTAACCTAATCTAGAAACTCACCTATAGACACGTCCAGAGATCTGGTTCCATGGGGATTGTGGAGACTGTGAAAATTGGCAACCAAAATTAACCGTTAATCATACTAAAGTGTGAGCCACCAGGGTGATCCCCTGAGTGAGTGTTCTTCCCATGGTAGCTGGTGAGCAGCTTCTCCTAAAAGTGTGGTGCATGAGGTCAGAGCAGGGACAGAGGTTGGAGAGAGATGGTGGAGGGTTTTGTGTGCCGTTGCTATCGCTTTTTTCTGAGTCCAATGAGGAACCAGTGCAGGGAGCTGAGCAGAGGAAGGTGATGTTCTTAAAGGACTTG